ATTATACCCTGATTTCCCATTTTCAATGGGTTCAGGGTATAAAAAATAATAATAAGAAATAATAATAAACGCCTTGAAGGCACTCGAAATTTTAGAAAGTTCAGTTCGCCAATTTCCGGAAATTTCCCACCTTAGATCAGGCTTAGATGTAAGCTTTCGAATTTGCATGAAATCTATAGCCCAAAAATAGCTTCAGAGCATGCGCAAAGTTTTTCAATTAACAATCAAATAAATGCTGGCGTCGAATAAACCATAAAAAATCACAATCTTATAAATCAAATTAGTTTAAAAACGATAGCAAAATAGCCATAAAATTTTTTGAAATTTAAATTTGTGACATTAACATACATAAGCCTCAAAGCAGTCAAAATAAATGAAATGCCAAAGCTGTGAATTGACGAAATTCAAAGCAGAACAAGCCGAAGATAAGCTCAAGACCTAAACGATTGGAGCTACATATGTTGTCAAGCGATTCAACAATGACGAAAGCAGATCTTAAGCAGAACCCATTAAAATTATTCAAAGATGAGCCACGAATGATGTTTGGCAGTGCCAACTATATAATATCTTATAATTGATGGGCGAATTTCGGTAATCAATTCGACTCTGGGGACGGTGCCAGGCGGATGGACGCCACAGAGCCTCGAGCAATTTGAAGTGTGACCGCGTAAACTGAATATGCGATTTATATTTAGACAAACGACGTCATTCCCATTGTGAGTGAATGAAAGTCCCAAGCCGAAATATCTCTGTGTGTGAAGAGTTGAGTTCAGTTGAGTTGCGTGTAGTTGAGCCAACATAAAGCAGATCGTCAGGCCGTGGCCAAACAGCACAAAAAAACAACAAAAATAAAATCGCCAAGTCATCCACTGTCAATGCCTCGCATAGCCCGCACTTTGCCCAGGTGGGCAAGGCGCGTGCGCGCATGAATCAGCGCAAGAGTTTTGGTTTGACTGCGTTTGATTGAATATGCATGAGCGGGGCTGCCAGCAGCTAACTAACTTGAACTCTGGAATCTAGCGGGTCCAGATGAAATTACTATATATGCCATAGGCACTAATTTAGCCAATTAGCACACAGATAAATTGCCGTTGGCAGACAAAGCATTTTCATTCATTCATGCTTTTGTTTAGGTATTAATGAGTATCCACTGAGATTTATTTACACACAACGCCCACGCCCACCCACTCACCCACGCCTTGGAAATTATTATTTTGCTTATAGGATGCCAATGGAGTGGCAAATACGTCATAGCTTGCCACAAGCAATACACACAAACTTGCACACACACAAACACAAACACACACACACACACAGTAATGTTAATAATTTTGGCCAACTTATGTATTTGCTCAATTATTTGCCACTTTTGAAGCATATGTCAAAAGTTATTCCCCGTTGCCAAAAAAAAAAATTAAATAAAATAAAACTTTGAAAATAAATAGAAAAAAAGTCAACAAGCTTAGTTAAATACTCTTGGTGAGAATTAGTTGGGCACTCTTCTTCTTCCTCTTCTTTTTTTTGCACATTGTCTAATTCGTATTCCAAGCACGTCTTTTAATACTAGTCTTGCGCCTATCCAAAAAGTTCCCCGAAAAATGGTTTCAGGCGAGAGATTAAAAAGAAGAAGAGGCCGCTACGAATCCGGTTCGAGCTTTCAAACGGGAAACGCACGAGTTGCGGGGGCGTGGCAGCGATTGTGGAAAACTAATTAAATGCAATAACAATGCATAACGCGATGTTAATTTAGCTTCTATTAAGCAATCATTAAGGCAAATGATTGTAGTTTGAACTTTTAATTGTCAATTAAAGATCATACGTTTTGTGTTTAGATATTATATCATTTATATAAATATTAGCACTATATAAAGTGGCTTATATTAAATATGAAATATACTCACAGTTATTACATATAAGAAATATAAGAATGATACGAATATATTGGGCAGATTATAGAAGACATTTGTATTCATTTGTAATTTGTATTAATTATACACAAAAATTATCAATATTTTTATAATTATATTGTATAATTAACATCATTTAGAGTTATGTATTTTGTTTATTATTATTTTTTAATATTTATTATAAATATTTATTACCCTAATATGTATTATCTTATAATGGATTTCTTCTATTACTTAAACATAGTTCGTGTACTTTTTCTTTTCAATGAAGCTCAAATAATAACACTAGAACTGATTCATTCAACAAACATCAACAAAACTATCTCAGTTTTCCCAGCTACTCTCGAAGCTCTTTTTCGTGTCGTGCCTATTAATATATTTGACGTATACGTAATATTTTAGTACGTTGGCGTAATTTAGTCTGCTGTTTCTTTTGAATACAAATTAAACCTATGCCAATAATTGCTCTGATTCACTCAGCAAGAAATAACAAACATTTCTGTTTCAATTTCCCCCAACTTCTCTTAAGGCATTTCCCAATACTTATCTAACAATGTATTTTACGTATACTTAAAATTGGACTAAATAATTTATTTTAGCTAATAATACACTTTTCAGGGTTTTTCTTAAAGTCAAAAGTTGGCTAAGAATTGAATTCTGATTCATTCAACAAAAGAAAATACGAAAACTTTTTAAATTTTTTTTTAAGCCCAGTTTTTGCATTTTAGCCCATGTGGCGTGCATTTAATAATACATATAATTATCACAATTAAAATTCTTCTACATAAGCAATTGTAATGTGCTATTAATAAAGACTCAATCAGTTTCAAATCGCCACACGAAAAGCCTTTCATTTCGCATTCAAGCCATATAATTATGGCAAACAAAAAATACTATGTATAATGTTTCCCGGCAGGGATTTTTTTGTTGTGAATTTCTCAAATTGAATTAGAAACTAACCGAAACAACCTACACGAAGCGCGTGCGCAACGAACTAAAGCTTGAGGCGACTCAGCAAATTGGCAAAGCGGGTTTCCCAAAAAACGATGCCACGACGAAGGCGTCGAAGGCGGCAAAGTACAGTGCAGGTAATTTGAGAAAGAAGACAACAGACACGAGCAATAGCTGGAGAGTGAACGAGTGAGTGAGTACAGCAGATTCGAGCACAGCAGAGCAGAGAGCTAGTGGGAGAGAGAGAGAGAGCGAGAGCGTCGTGCGTGCGCTCGTTATAAAAACGAATGCAGCATCGAGGTGCGAGTCATTCGCGCAAAGGAAGCTGCAACGAGCACAGCGAGCGGAACGTAACGGGTTAAAGTGAACAAGAAGAGACAAGTGTTGCCTAGCTTTGAGCAAAGTGTTTAAGAAAATTACTAAATTATTCAAAATAAATAAATTAAAGTGTGTTAAGTGAAACTGTAAAAGCATAAAAAAAAAAAAAAAAAAAAAAAAAAAAAAAAAAAAAAAAAAAACAAAAAAAAAGTCGAAAAAAGCAATACATAATAATACATAAACAAACGTGTGGCGTAGGTAAGCAACATTAAAT